CTCGCGAAACAACCTCAACTCTCTTTACTTTTCTCTCCCTCTCACACTATCCCTGTCTCTCTTTGTATCCACAACGCCACTTTGCGCCCACCTATCTTTACGTTCTATGAAACACATTATATAAATACGAAATCCTTGGCGACAGCGCAATCTTAGCCTGAGTATTACGTCACGCTTGAATTCTGACACAGAGCTGCTAGGAGATACCTAGCAGGACGCTTTCCTTTCGATCAAAGTCGACGGATTCTCGTCTTTTGTCCTCTGGGATTTATTTGGGGACCAAAAAAAGAACTAGATACATATACTGCAGCCACCATAAAAACAGGAAGTCAAGTTGTAACTCTTGTATGGATACATACTACACTGTACTTCACTTAGCGTTTGTAACTACGTTGACGTTTTGATCTATATGATGTATGTATTCATGTCTAAAATAAAAAAAAATGGTGCGACCTCTTCTTAAACTCTTTTACGAAGTCTTCTAGGGATTCATATAGATACGACTGAGTCGGTTTTAAAACCAAACTCCAAGTGGATTTGGGCGACTTTCTCTCTTGGCCACTACTGCAGATAACCTAAGTAGATGTACGCTGTATTCGCAAGTCCCTTTTCCTGATCCTGGCTGGATGAGCTCAGGACTTACGGCTAAAACGTGGCGAGATTTACGCGAAAACTTAAGTCCGAACGCGAGATTTATCGCTGCTGCGATTCGACAAAGCTGCGACTATGCGCGTCTGTCGGCATGAGGGAATACTCTGCATTTTTATGTAACATTTATCACGGAGTTTATGCGTTTCTGTTTAGTTCAAGCTGCTAGTTTAAGGTATTCTGTGTTGGGAAAATCGTTTGATCGTATTATTGTTGAATAAGTTGAAAAATCTTTCGTGATTCAAATTACATCTTTGCTTGGCGCCATTGCTCTTTTAACTAACCTCAATATTTAACTTTTGAGGCATCTAAGTCACACGTTAAAGGATGATTCTATGTTGCGTGTACTAGCAAGCAAACAATAGGCCAACCCCAGCTCGGGCGCACCCCGCAAACATCCCCTAGGGTTAAAGTTATGTCCTGATCAATAATATGTGTTTATATACAAGTGCGTGCCAATATATTTGAGGTTACCGGTTACTCAGGTCATTCTAGTTAATTGGGAGCTTCTGGTGTGAAAAGTTCAACAGTCAAAAGCTAGTTCCTGCCAGGAACGCGATTCACTGACAGCTACTTCTGATACTGTCAGTAGAGAACATCTTATACTGGTATAAATACAAAAAATTATATTTGCTATTATATCAAGCATCATACAAAAATTGTGTCCCAATGATTCTTTGCTTATGGCTAATTCACGTTATCTGTTTTTAGGAGATGATCCAGTGAAATATTTTTGGAAATTCTCTTCAAACAGAAAACCCTACGGTGTTGGGCATCGGCTAGACTCTGTTTCCTTTGCCCCTTTGTATTATTGGAGGTTGGACTACCCCATTGGATTAGGAGACCCCATAGAGGGAAAAATGTAATATAAAGGGCTTACTGACTAAGCTGTTAATATGTTATATGGTGATACTGCGAAGAAACTATGTATATATTACTGCTGCGCTGAAACATATGTCACAGTAATCGTATGCCAATATACATTGAGGGGTGCTTAGTGGTGAGTTTGTTGACCAACAAATTAAATAGTACTCTTACCTATAAGATTAATTAAATTGTGAAAGTAATTGGGTAGCTTCGTTTTCCAAAAATTATTAATATTTTTAAATAGTCAGGAGACAGTATAGTACCAAGTGAAATTAATTATTGAGTCATTGCACAGTCTGGCGTATGTTGAAAGCATATTCATCGCTTATCCATCTTACCTGTCTCTCCGTATCATGTCAAAGTTGAAATTCAGTGCAGGAGAGGGATGTTTATCATGCGTTTAAATAAAATGATGCGGCACCATAGAAAGTCGTGTTGTGGACAAGACTTCATATATATTTGCCCGTGTATTAGGGTACCATCAAGAGGGGGGTAGAAACAAGGGGCCACGTGGCGGCACGTGCCCAAAAACTAATTGAAACGTGAAATTTATTTGGCGTCAAGTTGTCAGTACCGATATTTCTCCCGTGACCATTTGAAATTTGAAAACTTACAAGCAACATACGCAGCCCCTATGAGTACGTCCTGTATATAAAATCCAATATGAATAGGCAGGTGCGCATTAAGTAAGGCACAAGGTAACGTCTCAAGGGATAATTGTGAAAATGCAAAATATGTCAATTTTGTCATACGTCGATTTTAGGAGAAAAACACAAGCCGTTACCGTCCGTGTATTCAACGTAGGTAGTGGTCCGGCAGTCTGCAGTTAATTTAGAGGCCATTTCCTCTGTAAATAGCCAATAAAAGCTCGTGGGGTTCGCGAGGGGCTATAGGGGCGTATGAAGCAGGACGGAGCGCAATATTATAAAATTTAATGTCTTGGTTTACGGGCTGCAGAGCTGGCTATAACCTGGCTCCGATATTTACTGGGCAATCGCAGCTACATTGCCGGCACTGTCTCGCGTTTGACCTTTCGATCTGTTTCAGCCATTAGCCCTCATCGTCCCCTACGAGGTAGATCATTAGTAAGAGAAAAAAAGTAAACTATTTCTTAAAAAGTATAAATCGCACGGCCCTTACCAAGTGTCGTCGATAAAATATCTGCCATATATAGACTATAAAGGGTGGCAATAAAAATCATCCCTGGCAGTAGAGTACCCTGTGTACCCTTTTCCTCCGACTGTTGGCAGGGGTGGGTTATCCCTTTGCAGTGAGTAGGCAGAGAATTTTTACGGGAGTCTGATATAATGGCCGCAACCACCCCTTTCTAACGCGTAGCCGGCCCTGGCCGCTCGTCCACAGGGGTGGGAGTGGGCAAAAGGTAGCAGAAGGATCTATCTCTTGGATAGCCGCGAGCGCTGCTGAACGTGTATTGGGCTTGGAAAAGGAAGAGGATAGGGGTAGAAAGTAGACGAGACGTACAGTAGGGGGTTGTGCACACGCGCGCAGAAACGGCAAAACAAGATAAGGGATGCTCGGAGGTATCCAGAGGTAGCGAGGTAGCGACGTCACCACGGAAATCAAGAGTAATGCCAACACGAAACTGCACTACCCCTCGTCCCCTTGCCAACCCTCCCACCGCACCCCTCCGCATCCTCCACCGCTGTACAAGACCCCTCGACGTCCCCCTGCACCCCTTCGAGCATCCTGACGCGCTGCTGTAGCATCTCTCGATCTCGCCTACCCCCGGGGAATAACCTACCCCCCGCCCCCTCCCTGCCCCTCCTCGTAATGCTGTATAGAGCCGCAGCTACACACCTACGATAGTTTCTCTATCTATCTAAGGGTGCGTTTAGGAACGACCCGTTTTTTTTTTCTATCCCGTCAATGACGACGCGATCGATGCTTCGATATATCCCTATGTCATCCTCAAGGAGTGATTGGACGATCGTTTTCTTAGGGGAAGAAAATAAAAGATAAGGGTAAGTATTGAGGGAGGAAATAAAAAGGGGTTTTAATTTTTTTTTTTTTTCAAATTTTTTATATATTGCATCGTGGGTATCGGTACGAATTTCAGTAGATGTAGAACGTATACGTAAGGGGATGGTTGTACGATTAGAATAAGTCTAAAATCTTTTCTTTTTTTTTTTTTTTCGTACAGGCCGATCGTCGCTGCGGTATTTTGTCGTATAAATGCGGCTTAACAACTGTACCTTATGCTTGGGAAGGAAAGTGGACTGGTTGTTTCCCAAATCCTACCGGAGAAAATGCGGCCATTCGTATGATCGGCTATCCACCGTTCACCCCACATATATATATATATATATATATATACACACATATAAGAACCCCCCTGGAAACGTCTTTTAATATACAGTATATCTTCAGTGAGAGCTGGACGATTCTCTGTTACCCTACTGAAAATAACAATCCTTGAATCTATCACGTCTTTCACAAGACATAAAATGGACATTGGTACAGCCACCGTGTTATTTGTCTCATTGTCAATTCTTGAGTTTATCGCGTGCCATCGACTTGAGGATACATTAATAATTTATTTGAAAAATGATAATTTTAATTTGTGCACTTGAACAATTTTTTTGTTACGTGGTCTACAATGATATTTTGCAAAAATGGAGATGCGTGTCGACTATGGGACGGATCTTGTTTGCTTATATTGTTGCAGATTAAATTAATTCGGGCAAATTAATTGGTAGTTAAGATGTTTAGCGCTAAGTGAGAAAGACTCGTCCTCTCTCTCTCTGTCTCTCTCTCTCTGTCTCTCTCTCTCTCTCTCTCTCTCTCTCTCTCTCTCTCTCTCTCTCTCTCTCTCTCTCTCTCTCTCTCTCTCTCTCTCTCTCTCTCTCTCTCTCTCTCTCTCTCTCTCTCTCTCTCTCTCTCTCTCTCTCTCTCTCTCTCTCTCTCTCTCTCTCTCTCTCTCTGTCTCTCTCTCTCTCTCTCTCTCTCTCTCGTCTCCCTCTCCCTCAACCATTGTCCTCTGCTATAAAGCCGTCCCTACTCCACCATATCATACATACCTGTACTTCTTTTAACTGGTTCTGCTTCTTCTTCATTCACCTTCTTCATTTACTTACTGACTTCGCTTCTGTACAGTCTTGATTTTCGCGTTCTTATCGCTGTACTTCATCATGGCTTGTATTTACCAAGGAGCCAACACCTGGCGAAAGTTTGGCTATGAACATGCCTTATCAAGTAGCGCCGCAATTAGTATCCTATCCTATCGACTTTCCCAGGTTCTTGAGAATTTCAAAACTATTGTATAGAATATGGTGTTCTCAAAAGGATAGACTCGTGTGTTAATATATTTTTAAACAAATTTTATTACGATGGTATTACGATTCTTTTTAATTTGTAAAATCTTTTTTTTTAATGACTTTTCCTGGGCGCGATATACTCGATGGAATTTGTAGAAGTAATTTTGGTTTTGATTCTTTTGGAGGGTTTTTGTTAGTTAAAAAAAAATGTTTACCGTAAAAATGTGTATTTCAGGGAAAATCGAGTTCACGATGATACAGAGCACGATGCTGTCATGCATTTAGTGAACCATTTGTAACGTGCTCGCCATTTGTGTGTTGAGATATTACGCCGGGTGGCTCTCAAAATATTGTGGTAAATTCGGCAAAGCACATGCTCTCACGTGTATGGGAATTTAAAATTGTCGAAGTCATTTTTTGTTTTTGAGTAATAATTTTGTGAATTTTTGTTCACGGGAGGTTATGTTTAAAAAACAGTTTATTGATCGTGAATAAACACACCATAAACATAAATAAAATAATGTTATACAAATTGTTAAATTATTAAGTACCGTAAAGCCTAAGGAAAGATACAAATATAATTGCAATAGCGTTAGAGCAAGTTGGTTTACAAAAAAAAAAGATTTAGAGCATCAGCTTAAAATTATGCTTAAGTTATTACTTAAACAAATCTTTACTACAATCTACATACAGTCCATTTACTAGGTGTAAAGTTTATTCTCTTACATCTCTTATTACGCATTGCGAGACGTCCAACGAAAGTAATAGAAAAAAAGTTCCTTTTTTACATTCGTCTTGTGAACGCATTTGTACATGAAATATTACTTTCTACAAATAAATAAAAATCGTATACAAATCTAACGAACTGATGTACCTAGGATTCCTTGCACCCTGTTCCACTATTAAGAATAGTGGAATTTTTAAACGTACTGGAATAACGTTTTTCTACTGTTATCATTATCGGCAATGAAGTTGCACCAGTGTTGATGCATACTATTGCTAGTTGTACTGCCATCTACATTTGCTCATTACCTATACCGACTCGTAAGGAACTTATTGTCAGTCCACGGTAACATCGATGCGATTTTGCACACAGGTGCATTAATGATAATTAAAATTTACGTGAGACCTTGTGATAATACTAACACGTTGATTAATATATTGCGAACTAATTTTCAGTGCGAATTAGAGACGCGTCTAACAGAAGGAACTTTTATCTGGCTCGAGTAAGGTGAATACAAAATTGTAATTAAAAGTGATATAATAATAGTGAGATTGAAGAGTCGTACGGATAAAACATTAAAGAATGGTCAATTTCAATAAAAACATGAAATGTTAATGAGTCAGTTACCTTACGAGATGCGAACTATCCAGTGCCGATACTTTATGCTCCGTCGATAAAATGCCCGACGGAAATAAAACAAATTTCTTTACCGACGGTTGATGCGATCATTCCGTATACCGACCGCAACTTCGTAGAACATTACAGCTTTTTCTGCTCAGCTCCACACAACGGTAAAGACTTTCTTTGGGAGATTTCGAATTATCATTCGAGAACTTCTAAACGAATTCCATTTGTACTATGCAATCGACATTTCATGCTGGATAAAATCCGTAAGAATGAGCGCCGAAGATAAGCAGTATATCATATTTCACTATCAGTGATCGAATCACCGAGTACAAGCTCCTCTCTGATAAGTATCGCGAGCCTTTCTAAAGCCTAGAAACAGGAAACAAACAGATCCATAATTACAGAATGAACGTCATAAAAAAAAAAACAGTCAACAGTAATCTAGTTTAACACCCAAGAAAACGAAACTCACCAAATCCATTTCTTCATATGAAGCTTTAGCAAAACTCGCCCTGATGGCGTTGCATGGCTGAGATGGATCCGCCATAAAGGCAGCACCAGGAGCCATAAGAACACCATGAGTAACACCACGCTGCATAACCATCTTCCAAGTGTCCTTAATACCCCAGACCTTAATCCACAGGAAGAATCCAGCGCTTGGCAAAGAGAATTCAGCCAAACCTATGAAATTAAAAAAAAAAAAAAACCCATAAAATAAACAATTCTCATAAGTGCATAAAAACTTATTAAAAAAGTAAAAAACCTATAATCTTACCATGCAAGTGCTTCTTGGCCAACCCTGCTATCAAGTCCCTTCGCTGCTTATAGAACAATCGTATCCTACGGAAATGTTCCATCATCTTCTCGTATCCCCAAATCTTAAGGAGCTTGTACGCAATAACCTAAAAATTAAAAAATTAATTATTATAAAAATAAAATTAATAAATTATAATATCACCAAGATACAATTTCTCTCCTAATTGCCAATAAGTATCGCGTGAATATAGTTTCGTGTTTACGTATAAGATAAGTTCTTGACACGCGCCGCGGTCAAAGTTCCTTCTATGTATGTCGTTACCGATTCGATGGCACGTGTCACGGAACGGAGAGTCTTATCGGCCGAGCTTATAATATTATCGAATTATCACTAAAGCAAGATTCGTTACTTTGCAAATATTTTTCAAGTTTCTCTACTACCCAACTACATACGAATTGAAGGAGTAAATTTAATTAAGCAACTGTTAAAATTATTCAGCAACTGTGCCAATTACACTCGGCATATTACGTGACTAAGGGAAACAACCCTTGACACTAACCTGGGACAAGGTTGGTGCGTGCAAATGACTGCTTTGCATGTGCAGCTCTATACTAGCCACCAGCGGTGCAGCTGCAGTAATGAAACCAAGCCTAAGTCCACTGCTTAGGACTTTTGAGAAGGAATCTAATCGGATGACACGTCCTTCCGTATCCAGAGATAAGAAAGATTTTGGTGCCTCCTGTATAGATCGACAAATTTTTATTAAACCAATTTTTTTTTAAAGAAAATATTTCAAGCGTATACAGTGATTGATATTTACCTCTGTGAAGTACATGAAGTGATAAGGATCGTCGTCCAGTATCAGAAAATTATATTCGCACGCGATTCTGTAAATTTCTTTACGCCTTTCCAAACTTAGTACAGTTCCTGTAGGATTTGCACCCGTTGCGTTAATGTACATTATCTTTGGCATTTTTTTTCCAGAATATCTACGACTTCGCAAAGTTTCACGCAATCCTATGGGATCGATGCCAAAATCATCCTGGACGACTGGTATGAGCTCGACCAGATGCGGGGCGATCTAGAAAAGAATTTTTTTTTCTATTAACAAGACTAACACTTGCAATTCATATCAATTATCCTATACAGTCAATTCATTGATACTCGTAAACCAAATCCGTGCCGTCTGCTAATACCGTGAAGCAGATGATATGAGTTATTAAACAGAAGCTATTAATTTAATGTAAATTACGATAACAGTCATTAAATAGCGGCAGATCCATCTTATCACACAGCCAAGATAAAAAGTTCTATATTAATAATAAAAATATATGAATATACAAGAGCACGCGTCGAACTCGGGACATAACCAGACGTTTCTCCTATCTCAATTAATTAGTCAAATCATTGTGATTTCTAAAGGTTTGACGTAAGAAAATTGTGCAATTACAAGAGACAAACTATATTATGAATTTACCCTACATAATCGACCTTCCTATACGATAAGGGTTTCACATTAAAAGGATCCATGAATATCGATAGACAAACATAGTAAATAAATTATAAATAACGATCAAACAGAAATTAATCCTTGATAAATTTTCAAAAAAAAACAAAAAAAAAATTAAAAACTACATTTCTCAAAATAACTCAATTAACGTCAAGTAATACTGACCACGACACCAGCTCCAGGGTAAAAGGGATCCTGTACCAGGACAGGATCACCGGGTCCTATTATAGCCTCTAGAGCTTTGCTAAGTCCATCTTGTCCTCCGGAGACAACGACGATGTCGCGACTTTCCCACAATGGCGGGGAATGAGCTTTTCTTTGAAATTCCCTCATTGCCTGAAATCGACGTAATTTCTAATTAGACTTAGGTCCAAAGTAATCTTGTATTGACAACGGGATACTAGATTACAATCTTCTGTGGTTTCTCCAGAGGAACTTTATTATATATATATATGTATATATATATATATACACACAGTCCTATATGTACTCAGTACTTGTGTAACAGATAATGGGATAGTAGAGAATTGTATCCAGATACTGTTACATCTAATTGAATTTCAATGATGCACAGTCAATAAATTCCTGACATTATTTACCTGTAAAAGTAATGGATATCCTTGACTGGGAATGTACTGCAGGGCTGCGCCCAATTCTTCACCCTCTAAGACAAATGACGATCCGTCATTAAGCTTCACTCTCATCTCGACGAATGGGAAAGTTTCTTCGTTTGGCATCCCTTCCGCCAATGATATAACGTTATGGGGTGCGGCATATGCAATTTTTGCTAAAACGTAAAAAAGAATTCTATGATAAAAATTTATATTGATTTTTTTTTTTTGCGATGAAAGAAAATTTTTGTACTCAGTCCGCGAAACGAATGACCGCACACGGCGCGTCGAAATATGTGAATCGGTCACTAGTGAGTCGAAAAATAGTAAAATTTTATACTTACTCAGCTCTCTTGTAGCGGCTGATCGCCTTCTTTTTGAAACATCCGTTTTAAAATGGGAATAATCCATTTTGATTTGAGGAACGTATTTATGCATTTTTTTTCAAAATTTCAAAAACTCTGGTCGAACTACGGAGTAAGTCACGACCGATGCTCGTTTTTGAGAAGTAAATTTTTGAAAAATTTTTAGAGTCGATATTTATTACGGATTTTTGATATTCAATAATTACACCGCGTAAGCTTCTTTATGGGTATTTATGAATTTTTTCAATATCCAAGGTAGGATAACGAAATTTAAATTTTTCAATTATTTGACAGCTCGATTTATTCTTAATCAAATTAACACGAGTTTCATAAGACAGTTTCTTCTTATTGTCAAGAACTTGTCGTAACCAGTGGCCTATGGTACAGCTGTCAATACTGACGTGACGCTTGGATTCGCTGGCTTTTATATTTCACGATAGCAAAACGGTTGCGTCAGACAACATTTACATATTCAATGAAAACAATAGTCGCGTGGTAGGATCGTGACGGGTATTCTGTATAGTTAATAGAGCTGTTAAATAAAAATCAATGAGAAGTCAATAAATCGATATAAAGAAATTAATCGTAATTGCATAAAGGCGGATATCAAGAGGGAAAAATGAAATGACGTGTATCTCAATATTATTATTTCACCGTAAGAGCGTTTACGAAATTTTGATGTTATCTGACGTAAGAAGTAATACAGATTGCTAGAACAAATAGAAAATCCAATAACCAATAAGTGTGTGCCAATCGAATTAATAAAAATTTGCCAATTGAGTTAGTAAATGTGCACAATAGAATTTGCAAAAATTTATTCAAGCCTTATTAAAAGTAAAAATTGAAAATGATAAATAATAATAATAAATTTCATAAAACTTTCTTCTATCCAGAAACCATATATCGTCGTTGCGTCATCATGTCATTGAAATTTATAAAATTCTTATAATCAGTGTTTCAAGGAAATATTTTTTTCAAAATAATATCAACTTTGTGCATTCCTACGAGCATGCATTCGTATGTTCGATTATGACGAAAATAAAATTAAAATTTTTTTCTAAATCGTGGGAAATCCTAAGCTAGTTGAATTACTGCACTTCACGTAAAACAAAATCCAAACGTACGTCTTGCATTGAAATTTCAAAATCATTGATAAAACAAAATTTTACCACATACGTCGTTCGATCATTGAAATAGAAAAATATGCATATCGTGCAAATCAAAGATTATTAATCGACTTTTCATAAAAATGCATAACGTTGCACCGATAACTTCCGCTTGAGAACACTGATAATAGACGTAATAAAAAAAATTTGCAATTCACCCATACCAGAAATACGAAAACATATACAAAACTCATTCTTAAATGTCAAAAATAAGTTAGAGAGGTGGAAAATAATATTTTGTGTCTTAAAAATGATAATTGATAACCATTGATAAGAATGATTGGTCTACTTTTTTTTTTCCCGTTGCTATGATTATCATAATGAATTTTTACAGTACATTCCACTGTTATTGATATTTGGCAAACGCGATCACGAGTTCTAACATCTTTCACAGCTGAATATGAAGGCTAACGGTATATCACATATGATGAAATTTACATGAAAATTTCATACTGATGATTGAATGATGAAAGATCCTAATGCAATGACCCAAGACTTCCGGAGAAGTGGGAGCGTAGTAGGTAACTGTAAACATAGTAGAAACCGTGAAACTCCGAGTGGCCAATAGTACGCATACAATTATACGACAGTATACAAATATTTAATTAGATACTAAAAAATAGTGAAAAATAAATGACTGTCATTGAATCTTAAAATTCATTGACCATCATTAATTTATAAGTGCCTGATTATGAATACGACGGACTCTGATAATTTTGCAAACATTAATCAGTAAGACTGATGCAATAGAGCCGAGCGATTTATATGGTTCTTGTATCGGCTAAACGTGAATAATATAAATATCAATATTTACAAATGTCCATAACGTATCAAAAAAAAAGTTTCATTAACGCATCATCAAACGAGCTGCCGCCACAAGTACATTCTTTGGATAAGAAGATATAAAAAAAAATTTTGAAAATTTTTTGAGATTTTCAAAAAATGAAAATTTTTTTTTTTCTATATTTTCGACGTTACATCCTGAACGTCACTCTTCGTGCGAATATTTGGACGTCGAATTGAGGGGGACAAAAATATATTTTGGCAAAAAAAAATACGAAAAACTCGATCACGCTACGGATGTTGGAAGAATTTTAAATGTAGCTTCTAAAATCGCATTACCGTCAACCATAAAAAATACCCGGTGTTTACAATAGAACGTATGATAGTGCGCGATCATTTCGTTACCCTGCATTGTTTTTTCATCTTTGTCACGAATTACAGGATGACGTCAGTGATAACGTGCAAGTTATCCTACGTACACTTGTAACTTGACAGCAGTAGATGCGCGGGTTATCGTTTCTCTTCATTCACAAAAACTGTTATTATTTTCGTCGATAACACGATAACAGAAACACAATGCATTGAATGGAATTTTTACTTATAAATAGCCAAAAACATTGTATTCACGTAATACATATACGGGATATCCCAAAATCAATGCAGCTCCGGAGTATATCCGTAATTTTGAGATCCAGCGGATGATGAAAATGAGCTTTGACCTCAAAAAAAGTACGTAGTTTTTAAATGAGAGCAGTTCAAAGTTTGCCTATCAGAGGGCAGCACCAACGGAAATGTTAGGCGTCTAAGAACTCTAGCTTCACTTCTTCTGTATCTTTGTTTATCGATGGTTTCGTATACAACGTGAATCCAAACATAAAATTTATTTTGCCTAATATCTGTCACAGATAGATAGTTTGTGATACTTTTGATAAGACGTTATCGAATCAAGAAAATAACGACCTGCCCTGTTTTGCTCATCGTCCAATCTGGGCTGATTTATTATTTCACTCATTGACCCGAGCCAGATGTTTTGTTAAAGATATTTTTCTTTGTCTGTTTTGCCCACGTTTGTGATATCGCGCCATTTCCACAGCCCGAGTGGCCCCGCGTTATTATTATTATTATTTTTTTGATAACGCCCAGGAAAGCAATACTAGCGAATAACAAAGGTTGAGTAAGAATATTTTTTCATAATGTTTTTACAGAATTTCCTTTGGCATTGTAAATTTTCTTTCTAATTATCTACGAATTATTACGTAGAATTGGGTAGAGGGAGAATAATGCTATGAGTTTTTAATAATTCCCATTACTGCAATAATTTTATTGTTTAGCTTCGTGAGCCGTTTAAAAAAAAAAGAAAAAAAAATATTTTGAATTTGAAACAATATACGTAATACTTGCACAACTGACGGTAATAGATACGTATGTGAACGTATTTTATTTCGTAAGATTGATAATTAATTGCTCTAATAAGAATAATAATTCTCACCTGTCATATACACGTGTTTGTTATCGTGAAAAATTGTCTTTGGTACGAAAATACCGGTGTCGTTCACAACTTGCCAATATACGGAAATAAAATACTTGCGACGTTAAAACCTTTGGGATCTACCATCTGCTCGAACACCTGATCAACGAATTTGAAAATTGTTTTGAAACAAATGGGCTAGAGACATGTTAGGCAGCTTTAAGAATGAATCTGATAATTCTTGATCGATTAATTAACGTTGATATTCCGAATTCTTGAAATTTATCATATAACGCAACTATTATCGTTACTTTCTAAAGATCACGTGTATTCACCATTATTTTTCGAGAAATACGAGAGATTTATTAATGGGCAAAAAATTGTTGTCGACTGATTAATCTAGAGAAAGTAATTAAAATCATTTCATCAGCTAATAATTGCATTTTGCGTAATTCATACTTACGTGTATTCGACATAAGAAATAATCACGTGAAAAGCAGTACAGTGCTGACGTCTGTCGGTATAACAAGTAAACTATTAATTTACTATGGATTCTGCAGTTTGAAATTAAATAAAAATGTAAGATGAAATATCGATAAAAATTACTATTTCGATACCAATCACTCTTATAAACCAATAAATCGAACCATATTTGAAAAACAATATACTCAATAAATAGTACTAAGTTCGATATATAATGATCAATGACGAATTATCTATTTCGAAACTACAACGATATTACTATCACACGCAGAGTAATGATTTTTAATGACAGCAAAGCATTTCTAATTAATACTTACAAGATTATTACGTAATTACAAGTGATCGACAAGTTATATAAAACTAAAGCGCAAGATGTCTAATGAGTTCAATAAAAAAAATCATTCAGGATAAAAACCCATTGGGGATCCAAGAAAAAATATATACATATATTTATACATATAACGTACACATATATCATTGCAGTTAAATCATCCAATCAGAATAACCGACGAATGGCACCATAGGGACTGGAGTAAGAGTGGCTAGGACGTCCTTAAAAAAAATAGAAAAAGAGTAAAAGGAAGATTAAAAAATAGAAGAGAATAACCCTCAGCACTGTAAGGGCGTGAACTCAATGCGGAGACGGAGATGGAGAAACGTAGCACCTAACGAACAGAGAAGTTCATTAAAAGCGAAACGACATTAGCCAACCTAAAATTACCCCTCCCGTTTTCCAAGCGGCAGTGCCGGTACCCGACGCCTACCTCTGGGAACGACGCCGACGCTGCCGCCACCGTCGCCAACGTCATTCTCATCCTTCCATTTACTCTGGAGAGAGTGAGAGAAAGAGAGAGAGTATACTCACCGAGCGTGTATACATATATACTCGCTTGAGAATTTGACTGATGGAAAAAAAAAAGAAAAAGGAAAAAAGAAGAGTTTTCCCCGATAGGAAATAGATCTTTGCAATTGGAAAAATTGTCAGGCCATCTCCTCACGGGAGATTGTCTTCCCGTGAATTTCTCTACCTCTGTTCTCGGCGCAAACATTAACGCTAATAGAAACCACTCAGGAACTATGAATTGCCTACGGATTATACTGAAATTTCATTATTTTCATTGACGGCAAAATTCTGAGGTACCTTATATCTATTATGGTGTATCTATATATGTATGGTGTGTGTATATATATATTTGTGAAGATGATAAATCTTTGCAGCAATCGGAAGTCATCTGGTATATTCTGTAAAATGTAAAATAATGATAGATAAATTTAGTATATGAATATTTACGAACTTTTGTAGTGATTTTCTATGTTATCAGCGACAGTCGTGCACTGAACACAGTGGAGTTTTAAAAAATTTGACAAAAAAATTGGTCTTAAAGTGGGAAAAGAATTTTCCATCTTTAACAAGGGTAAAGTTCACGCTCTAATAATACCTAATTGGACCCACCCCATGTTGTCCTATTATACTAGGTGTCAAAATACTTTCACACCCATTGCCACCACTGTATACAGGCACCATAATCCTACCGTTGCTATTTGTCTGACTGACTGCTTCTCTTTTTCATTTCTCTTTCATCCTCAAGTATTTCACGCACAAAGATACTTGTATCTCAAAGCAGCCGACCACCAAGAATTAGACAATGGAATATGACAGGCCAGTTGTCATTGTTGTGTCAATTTGAAAAAAAGTATAAGATGTCCAAAATTAGAGCGACCGCCATCTTGTTCCTGATAGTTCCACGTTCCACCGATGATTTTCTTCTTACGATAGCTCTCAAGAACCGATACGTCATATCTAATTAAAATTGAGGTCACATTATAGACATTCGAGTTGACAGAAAAAGAAAATAAAGAATGATAAATCTCAACATACCCTGTGTAATTTTGTTTGCTTACTCATTCTTGTCCAACTAATATTATTTTTCGTATGTTCTCTCGACTTGTTTGCTTTTTCAGACATTCACTGCCACACGTCAATGAAGGGTGATGTGTGTTTCAACTCGGCTCGAGAGATTTGATAATGGACGTGACCTTTAAACAAAATACATTTATCAACGCCTTTTACAGTTTCGTAACAGATAACAAAATTACGCCCGAAGGCACGATAATTGCTGATAATTCACGGGAACTTCATTAAGACGTTCATCAGGGTTGGAGGGATGAAATGCTTTCATTTGATTATTACTCGATTTCGATAACTTTGTTATCACGTGTATCTAGAACGATAATCTGCCGTGTCTTAATTTCATGTAGAAATATAACCTACTGGTCAAATTGAAAATCATCATCACCCACCTACAACACGTCATGATAACGTTTCCACGTTTTAAATGATAATCTTCCATTATCGAATCTATAGTACATTGACATACACACCCATATACGTGTATACTCAGTTACCAGTATGCTGCTGGCCCAGTCCGGTTTCGTATTGCATTTGTTCACCGGCCAGCTTAATTAGGTTCCAGGAGCTTACGTCACGAGGCCCAATTATCGTTAATTGCGTAAAGATGTCACTCCGTAAGCGGATTTCTAGCGGTTTCACAGCATTGTGTCCCCTTAAGCTCCGTCACGAGTGTTCGAGGGTCGCCGTAGCTCCGCATTAAAATGCATCCCTCGCCATTGCCTATTGGACAAAACAAGAATAGACAGTTTAAGTAATACGAAGTACTTCAAAAAAAAAAAAAAAAAAAAAAAAAAAAAAAAAAAAAAAAAAAAAAAAAAAAAAAAAAAAAAAAAAAAAAAAAAAAAAAAAAAAAAAAAAAAAAAAAAAAAAAAAAAAAAAAAAAAAAAAAAAAAAATTACAGAAACCAACCGAAAAACGTCCATTTCACAATTTAACATTGTTCTCATTGTCATTTAAAAGTCCCGCCGTTTTCAGTCTCAATACGTTTCACAGTCACAATTTATTATTTCCTTCTTTCCTTATCCATCCCTTTTTTTTTAACGATTTAATGGGGTAATTCTGTATTCTCCCCCCCTTACCCCCGTCCCAGCCCCCTCAATACCCAAGGAAAAGATCTCAGTCGGCGCAAGAATTAAGCAAATTAAAAATTAGCAGAGTTACCAAGTGTCACGGTAAGCAGCTTTCTCTAAATGCCTGTGACTAAAAATTAAATTAGCTTGCCGCAGTGAAATTGAAAAATCTCTTAAACCGAGGAACGGGTCAAGGGAGGAAGGAGAGGCGAGGGGGGGCAACGGGTAGTAAAAAAAAGCTCGCAACGCCGCGAAAACTCGTTTAAAGATGAAAGGACGGCTAACGACTTATTTTCGATAAGGAAAAAGTTAAAGTACTCGCGCACACGTTCCCTTCCTTCGCCATTTTTCTTATATATATATATATATATATATATATTCATCTCTCTTTCTCGCTCCGTCAATCCCTCCCCTCTCCTTTTTCCTCTTTCAAGACGTGACGGAGGGTTGAATATTCTCTTGAACTGTCGTCGCGAAGGGCGGAGATTCTAAGCCTGGCCCCAAAATACAACAGTTGCGCAAAACTCAACTCGATTGCCATGTCAAAACGATGTGAAATGGGATTGATGTGATTTAGTTAGGCACCCCTAAATGCACCGTTTATACCGGCTGTGTAACGGGTGTCTCGTAACAAACGAATCTGGCCTAGGTTGATTCTAATGACTTATGAAGTCAAGCCAAATGACCAAAGTCCCACGAGCAGCCCTCTATGAGTTACTTGCTAAATCTAATAGTCCAACCCTCGAGACAATCACGGATCTATTAGTAAACTACCCCTAAGGTGTACGGAAGGAGAGACTTGGTATTTTCGATGTTGAGAATGAATCTCGCGTTGCGTGTAATTTTATTCTGGTTAATTTGATAGCGTTGATTGTACATTTCTTTCTTTTTTTAAGGGTGCATTTTTTTGGTATATATATTTGGTATATATGTGTGTACTTGGTTTTTTTTTTTTGAAGATTGGTGTAAAGAAATTTTATTGATAAATTTTTTTTTTCACTTTTCATCTGTAACATTATTATTTGATTCGGAACGAAACGGTTGGTTGACGATATTCAAGATTGGATATTTGCATAGAGAATAGTTTATTTTCAACGCGACACGGTAAACTTCAATGAAAACCTCTATTACAGTTTTTTCGCCCTTTGCGTCATTGGCCAATAATCGATGTGCCCGATGGAAAAATGGTGAAAACTAATTATTTTCAGAATAATGGAAAAAAACGATAGACACTGTTTAAAAAGTTGCATTTAGCGCTCGTTTGTTTAACAGAATTTTAATGGACAGTCCGCACCTTATGAGCAATAGCGTTTGAAAAAAAAAAGGGCGGGAATTAAAAGTATTTCAAATTGAAAATGCGCGCGAGAACATTTCGATGTTGGGATAAGAGAAGGAAAAAATTCATAAGGCATTGGTTATTAATTGTCGAATATTTGATCGATATAAAAATTAACGTCGTCGTTTGGGAATCTTTGAAAAAATCTATTGCCGGAAGCTGATAGCAGTAGGATAAATTAGAAAGCCTTAGCCGACACTTTGATCGGTAACTTCGTTTATGGCGACGCTGGACAGAATGTAGGAAACACCGATAACACCGGTGACGGAAATATCGACTTTTGAGCTGGCAGCCGCAACCCCTGACTCTTTCCCAGTGTTGCCAATCGCCCCCA